GAAATTAGCTTTTTTATGTCATTTCAAGTTATATTCAGTTATAACTATGTAATTATGAGATGGTTTGAGAAAGAATGAGTTCATAAGTTAAGAAAGGAAAATTTTATAATTACCACCATCTATTGTTGCCAAAATTGAAAATACCACCTCAAGTTTTTTTTTTTTTTTTTTTGAATTAAAACACCTAGTTTTTTCCAAAAGTTTTGAAAATCCCACCACTTTGTGAGATAACGTCATTGTGGGACCCACAATTTCGTTTTCCTTCTCTTTCCCACGGTTTCCCCTATTCTTCAACTCCCTTCTTTCAATTTTATCTCTCAAATTGGATTTCAATTAAACAAATTTCGCAAATTAGGTTATAATCTCTACAATCTAACCTACAACGAACTGAATTGATTAGTTTAATTAGGGTTTGGGTAATCAATGTGGGGGTTTTGCTAAATTTGACAAATCATGGTTATCAATTTGGGGGTTTTGCTAAATTCAACAAAGTAGGGGTTTATTTGTTGTAAATACTTGTTTAATTGTCCACTTATTCATTCAATTTTAACTTCATAAACCCTAATTTGTCCAATTTAGCAAATTAAAACCCCCAATTTAGTTACCCAAACCCTAACTAATCTAATCAATTCACTTCGTTTTAGGTTAGATTATAGAAATTATAACCTAATTTGCAAATTTTTTGTAAATGACATCAAATTTCAGAGATGAAATTGAAAGAGCGGAGTAGAAGAACAGGGGAAATCAAGGGAAGAATGAGGGAAAGAGAGGGAAAACGAAATTGTGGGTCCCACAATGACGTCATCTCACAAAGTGGTGGGATTTTCAAAACTTTTGGAAAAAACTAGGTGGGATGTTTATTTGTTTTACTTGTAACTTATGTTGTTGGTAAGTTCTTTAAACTATATATTATTGTATGATGTATTTCTTGTAGGAGAACTACCAGAAGATGGTTGAAGAAGCCACCACTCAAGGGATTAAAAAGAGTCCTAATGAGTTGTATTGGGAGAGTGTGGGTGGTCACAACAAGAAGGGTCGGGTGAGGGGACTTGGCCAAAGTGCAGAATTGTACTACGGAAACCAGATGGGTCGATTTTTTAGGTCTTCACAGCAGTACACACTGTTCGTTGTTTCTCAGATGCAGGAACAAATGGAACATAGGGTGGAGGCTTTCGGAGTGAACTCAGGAGTGAAATTTGGAGTGAACTTCGGAGTGAAATAGAAATTGAGATGCGAACTCGAATTCAAGCTGAAGTGGCCGAAATGGAGAGGAGAACCGAGGAGAGGTGGAATGAGTTCATGAGTCGATTCGCCAACAACGACACATGTTCCACCGTTCAACATCGGCGTCGAGACCCCAGGGATGACTCGAGTAGTGGAGGAGCAAGATAGGGTACCCCGCTAATTATATAGAATAGCTTTGGTTTATGTAGTATGGACATGTACTTAATTTGAATTTATGTAGCGTTTGATTATGTTCTCGCTTTTGTAGAACTTACTACATATTATGTAGCTTTTGGGTATGTTCTACTTAAGCATAGCTTTTGTGAAAATATATATATCAATATTTCCGTAATTCGATTATTATTTTGATTTACACAGGTATTAGGTGCAGGAATATAAGTTTAATGATGTTTTTTTAAAAAAAAAAAACCAGAATTTTTTGAAATGAATAGTTTTTTGCGACGGAAAAAATAAATATAAAATTCGTTGGAAAAAACTTTTGCGATGGATAAAAGGGAGAAAAATCCGTCGCAAAGACAATAGGTTGCGACGGAATTAATTTCCGTCGGTAGCTAGCGACAAAATTTTCTGTCGAAAACTAGCGACGGAATTTAATTCCGTCGCAACATATTAGCTATGCGACGGATTTTTCCGTTGTTGAGGTTCCTTCAGCGACGGATTTTTCCGTCGTTAGGTTCCTTCATCGACGGATTTTTCTGTCGTAATATTGCGACGGATTATTCTAGAAAGTCAAATTACTTTGACAGAACAGGTTCGGTCGGAAAACCCATCGTAAAACCCCTTTCTAACGGAATTTTCCTCGGAAAATCAACTTTTTCCTACGAAAGGTTTTCCAACGGAACGTTACAAAGGAATTCCGTCGTAAAGGTGATTTGCGACGGAAATTCGACTTTCAGCGACGGAACTTTTATGTCGGAACAGGCCTTTTTCTTGTAGTGTAATATTCAACTAGTAATTCCGGGAAACAGATCCAAACCGCCATATATTTCAAAACATGAAATATTTGGCCTAAAATTCGGTTTTCATTTACAAAGAACTAAGTAGTGATCATAGATGAACCAAGGACCCCTGTAAAGAGCTCGATCATAATCATCTTGGGATGAAAATCTGAAAAGATAGATATTACCACCCATATCAATGATTTCTAATCCACCCTTAATCTTCCACATAACTCTTTCCTTGGCATCCATGAAAGATGTTCGGATATTAATACCTAAACACTTGCCCATGAGGAATAGTTTCCAGGGTGAACGTAACTTTGTTAGCACCTCCTTAGGGAAAGTTATAGCCAGCTCTGGATTGGGAGGAGTTATCTGAAGGTCCTCCCATTCCAAAGACATATTTGCTAATTCCTGGGGTTGATTAAACCATTGACTGGAGCCAGCTACCGCTTCTCTAAAAGACAAGGGCTTTGCACTCAAAATACCTTTTTGTCCTTCGTCACAACATCATCTTGAGTTCCAGTTGATATGTGAGTTACAATAAGTTTGGTTGTGTCAACACTACGTTGGACATCTTCCATTAGTAAATCTGGATCATCCGATTTGGTATCCTCCATTTACACACAATTAAAAACTACTAAAATTGAGAATAAAGAAAAGAAAGCACAATCCTTAAACTTAGTTAGCTCCAAGGGACTCCACACTCCAAGGTGTGAAGTTGATCCCTAATTACTAAAAAAGAAAAAGATAGAGCAAAGATTTGAGAGAGAAAACTGAAGTTACATTAGCATCAGCGCGTTTCTGGTGCGGCTGGCCGTACGATGCGGCAAGGTGTCATATCATTAACCCTTCTAGTAACCCTTTAAGTAACCCCATTTAAGTAACCCTTCTAGTAACTCCCCAGACAAAGTAACCCCTGACTGACCTGGTAGCCCCTGACCGACCTAGTAGCCACTAACCTAGTAACCCCAAGTAACCCCTAACCTAGTAACCCATGTAACCCCTAACCGACCTAGTAACCCCCGACCAAGTAACCCCTAATAACCCCCTACCTAGTAACCTATAACCCCTAACCGACCTAGTAACCCCAAGTAGGGATGGCAATTTAATCCGAGTTCGATTCGAATCCGATCCGATCCGAAAAAAAAAATCCGATTCGAATCCGTTTAAAATTAGTCTGAATCCGAATCCGATAAAATAGCCCAAATCCGAATAGGAGGTGGATCGGACTTGGACCCAACGCAAAGTCTGACGGAGTACGATCCGAGTTCGAATACGAGAGTATAAGCATATGCTCAATAACTTGGGACAATTATTTGCTCATTTTGTAGCAAAATTTTGTTATGTAACTTAGTTTATAATTTAAATATGTTATGTTTATACTTTAATTGGAATGAACGTACAAGCAATTATAGGTATATGACATTACAAAAAAAAATATAAAAAAAAATATTTGGATCATTTCGGAGGTCCGTGTAAATGGACCGGATTCGGATCCGAAAATTACGAGTCGGATTGGATTCGAACTCGGATTTTTCGGATTTGGACTCGGATTCGGATCCGAGTCCAGGGTCCGTTTACTAAACGGATCAGATTCGGATTTAGCAACCATTGTTATTAAAATCCCGATTTAAATCTTAGAATCTTACGATTTTACGATTCATGTATATCATACGATTCGATTTACGATTCTACCCGATTTTACATATTTTTCTTAACTAGCGAAATCCTTACAAGTAAGAAACATGTTTATATAGGTTTTTATAAATAAATATTGTAAAGTATTGATTGCTTAATGGTTAAATAACTATTATCTATCAATAATTAGGTTTCAAACTCATAATTTCAATATATTTAATTAAATTTATATTTGACGTCATGATTATGCATGTCGGTAGAAACTTACGATTCTACAATTCGATTTTACGATTCGATTCTGATAGCCCCTTCCGATTCAAAGTAGAATCCCGATTTTAATAACTTTGGCAACATCCGATCTGTTGCCATTCCTAACCCCAAGTAGCCCCTAACCGACCTAGTAACCCCAAGTAACCCCTAACCGACTTAGTAACCCCTAACCGACCTAGTAACTCCTAACCGACCTAGTAACCCCTAATCTAGTAACCCCAAGTAACCCGTAACCGACCTAGTAACCCCTAACCTAGTAACCCCAAGTAACCCCTAACCTAGTAACCCCAAGTAACCCCTAACCGACCTAGTAACCCTTAGTAACCCCCTACCTAGTAACCCCTAACCAACCTAGTAACCCCTAACCGACCTAGTAACCCCTGACCAATCTAGCAACCCCTAGTAGCCCCCGACCTAGTAATCATTAACCCACACCCAAACCCACCGTAACCACCACCAACACCAACCTTTCTCAACCACCGTCCTCAAAACCTTAAACTCCACCACACCACCACCAATTCCCGTACCACTAAAAACCATTAAAATTGTTAAATAAAAAATTAAATCGAACAAATACCTCAAAATAAATATTGGCTTCGAATATGGCTAAAAAGGCCAAATTCATCCATAAAAACTCTAGATCTACAGTTTTCATGGCTAAATTTGGCCTTAAAACCTCTAGCTTGTTTTTTTCGGCGACGGAGTACGAGGAGCTTCCTTACTCCCCACCACCGCTGCTCCATTTAACTTGTTTAATTTTAGTGGGCTAACTAGAGGGATGATGAAAATAGGATAGAGAAAGAGGAGAGAGGAGAGATAGAAGAAGAAAATAGGAAAGAGAATGGGAGATAGAGAAGATAGAGAAAAAAAAAATTAAAAAAAAATATTGTATTGCGGCTGACCATACGGTGCGGCCAGCCGCATATGAAACTTTGTGCATGCATATATCAATATTCAAATAACATAATCAAACAGTACAGACAAGATTAGTCTACCAAACTTCAAGTGTTGAAATAAAAAAATAATTATAATAGACAAATATTTTTGTAACAATAACATTAAGATTGATAACAATTTTAGCTATGACATAGTAAAAAAAATAAAAAAAATAAAAAAAAAAAAGTACTAAGTCCAATTTTTATTACTCGCAACAAAAGAATATTTTATGTCTCACAATCAATTCTTCTTTATGGCGAGTATTAAGAACCGGAGATAGTAATTAATAATCTCTACTCCCAAATGCCAATCTCTGTGAACCCATCTTCGGTTGCACTACCTCTAAACATACCATTTGTATTAAAACCATACGCCACTTCCCCATTATTGGACACAGCAATAAGCCCAGCTTTGCCTCCATCATCAAGCCTCTCCTTAATCACAAAGTTCACTGCCTCTTGAAGCCTCAAATCTTTATACTCCATGACAGCCGCTACGTCGCGAGCCAACGTTCCTCGTAGGATAGCCTCCCCTTCTCCGGTACAAGATATTGCACAAAGTTTACACGCGTATGTCCCTGACCCAATGATAGGGGAGTCCCCTATCCTCCCAACCATCTTATTGATCAGACCTCCTGTCGATGTGGCGGCTGCGCATCGCCCTTCCTTGTCCACTACTACGCATCCTACTGTCTCAGGCGCGTACACGCTCATTGGTAGACCGTTCATCATTGTTGGATTGTCTGCTTCCACGGCACAACAATTTTCCAATCCCGTAGTTGGTATTCTATAATCAAACTGACCAATTTTTACATTTAACATTTCAGTTGCATTAAATAATTACATGTAACCTTTCAGTTGCATTAAATAATTACAATAAGGAAAATTTGCGAGGAAGGTCCTTTTAAGTGGTCGACCTTGTAAGAAAGACCCTTTTATAAAAAAGGTGGCACAAAAGGTCCTTATATCATGTTTGGGTTGTGAGGAGGGTCCTTTGACCATTTTTCGGCGTTGTCTTTTTTATTTTTCGGCCAAAAAAAGTCACATCTAAGTTCTCTTTTTTCTCCCTCCTCTTTTCCCTCGTTTTCCCCTTTTTCCTCCCTATTAAACCTTAATTTGTGAAAATAATTAACACCAAAACTTCAATTGTAATCCCGTAAATTAAAATTGAAGGCTATTCAAAGTAATTCAAGGTTAATCCTCCCCACAATGAGAGAAAATAGGGAAAAAAGGGAACTTAATAAGTCACGTGCTTTACACGTGGCTTTTCTTGGCCGGAAAATAAAAAAGTCAACGCCGAAAAATGGTCAAAGGACCATTCTCACAACCCAAACATGATATAAGGACATTTTGTGCCACCTTTTTTTATAAAAGGGTCTTTCTCACAAGGTCGACTACTTAAAAGGACATTCCTCGCAAATTTTCCTTACAATAATTTACATTAGGAATATTCGTATTTTAAATATTTATCTATCACCCTAGAGACGTTCATTAGCAATATTTTTTTTTATTGATAAGGCATGGAGGAAAAAAAATTTAAAAAAATAATACTCCCTCCGTTTCAATTTGTTAGTCTCATATACTATTTTGGGCGTTTCAAAAAAATCTACCCATATTCAATGTATTCCACTTTTAACTTAGTTTTTATTTCCTATTTTATGCATAATAAATTATGAGTGGTTAGATTAATTGATTGTGAATTAATAACATGACTCTATGTAAGGAAATTATTCCCTTGATTTATGCAATTATAACTAATGTTTTCCTTAAAATAAAAATCAAAAAAATTAAATAAGACAAACTATTTATGAATTGTTTTTTACTTTAATGCTAGATTCTAAATATTCACCTTTTCTTATTTTATGTGATTGATTCCATATGGGACTATCATATTGAAACGAATGGAGTAATAATAATAAATAAAATTTTAAAAAAATAATAAAATAAAAAACCTTCTACATTAATTGTCATTACATCACTAATTTATTATTGATTGTGTTAAATAGAAACAACTATCGATTTGTATAAACAAATAATGAGTAAAACGTACCAGAAAAGGGTGATGCTATATGTGTCAACTTGAATTTTCACTATTATTTCACAAAGTCATTGTTGCCACTTAAGTTATGCATGATGACTCGTCATTTTTTTAAGAGATGTTTCACAAGTTCACATTAGTGTAATAATATTAAACAAAATAAAGATAAAATATTTCTTCAAAAAAAAAAAAAAAAAAAGATAAAAGAAATTAATGAATGTGAATTAAAAACGATACTAAAATAATGGTCTACCTAAATGGAAAGAGTAAATAAAGTCACATAATTTAATACATACTAATCGTTACACGTACATACCAGGATGGCATTAGCTTCCTTAGCCTGCTTTAACATACCCACATTGTCTTGTGTGATGAAGTACTCATTCTCCATCATTTCCACGCCCTAATTAAGATCTTATCATAGTTAGGACGACTATCCCTGATTTTCAATAGATAAGTATGATAAAAGAGTAAGTCTTGTATGTAGTTAGCCACACGGTGGTGATTTTTAAGAGTAATCTTCATTTATATGTATAGGTAATCTCATTTTTTATAAGAGTAAATCCATTATTATTTATAAAAGTAACCTAAATTCATTATATGAGTGAAATCAAAAAATTTAAAAATAAGTAACCCCATTTGTTCATTCGAGTAACCCCTATTATTTCGTTTTAAAAAATGAAAGAATAATTTCACTTATTTAAGAGAGTAACCCCTTTTTCCCATTTAAGTAACCTATATACGTAAAAGTAATCTCATTTGCTCATCACTGTAACCCTCTATTATTTATTTAATTGTATTGTATGTGATTATGTGAAGTGGTCACCCCATGTGACTAACAACGTATAAGACTTTGTGGTGATAAAAAAAAAAAAAAAAAAAAAAAAAAAAAAAAAAAAAAGCATAAATAAGCATGATTGTGCTTATGTTATCCCTTATACAATCCCCCATTCCTTATAGTTATAAACATAGATAAGCATGAATTTTCTTGTTTGAATTGGTATTATAAGTGGGTGTAAACAAATAAACGTGATTTATAAAATTATAAATCGGTGTAAGAAAATGAGACACAAAGTTAAAGACATTAAAAGAATAAGTGAGTATAAAAATAAATAAATGAAGTAATTAAGAGAGGGTGAGTGAAAAAATATATACTTTCTCCGTTAAATATTAGTTGCAATAAAAGGAATATATTTTATGTCTCATAAATAAGGTCCCGTTCTCTTCATCCTATTTTTGCCGAAATAAAATTATTTTTATTGAATTGAAATTATTTTTGTTGAACTTATATTATTTTTACTGAACTGAAATTATTTTTATTGATTTTCTAGTATATTTTTATTAAAGTTACTGAATTTTATTGAAATGAAATTTATTTTGCTGAACTGGATTTATTTTTACTGAACTAAAAATATTTTATTAATATTCTTTTTTAAGATAAAGTGAACAGGGCATAATACAATAATACCCTTTTGGGGCAGTACAAACTCTTAAATAGACCCAGTTCACATTAATCTATTGTGGACCACTTATAGTAGAGTTACTATCGTCGTTTTATTAATTTAAAAAAAAGTCCCTATGTTAAAATAATGGTTATTTTGTTAAAATAAAAGTGATTGTGTTTTTATAGATTAATTTTTTTAATGAAAATTTTAAAATAGCGGTCAATATGAATAATATAGGTCAATAGGTTAAAATTAGGATCATAACGTCATACTTCAGGTTTGCAACAATATTAAAAATCACACAAATTTTATTGAAGGTTACTATGTTAAAATTTAAAGTTACCTATTTAATATAAGGGTCACTATGTTTGATACCAAAGCCAGTTACAAACATGAAGAACTTCGGATTCACAATAATATTATTGTGAACTAGGTTCACATAAGTTTTTCTATTGTGGCAATTAATAGTTAAGAGAGGAGGTATATCCGAATGAAGCGAACATGGGAGTGCTTGGTTTAGGAGACAATGCTGAGTAGTTAGAGACTTTTAATTATGGTCGATGGAAGTTGAGCAAGCTGATTGCATATGGTTGTTTGATACTGATTATCATAATATGTCGATTGCCAAGGAAGTAGAGACATTTCATGTCTTTCACTTATTTTTACAAACAAGCACTTAAGTAATTAAATATTTACATTCCTCAAGCAATGATAACAAATTTTTTTGATTAATTGTAATTATTTAATTTGTTCACCTTGTTTTCACTTATTTCACCTCTAATATGTTCAGATAAATTTGGCTAAATTCAATTGAGTTTATGTATATTCAGGTCAAGAAAAGTAAATTTTGATACAAATTACCCAATTCCAAATAATAACTTTTGATAAGATAAGTTTAGATAAATGAAAATCATGTGAATAGATCACACCCTAAAACGACAAGGGAAGTAGATTACCGAAAAATATTCAAGCAACTAATAAATTAATTCAGAAATCAAAACCTGTTGGCGGGCAAACTCCTCAGCTCCTGAGAAAGCAAGATAAGAGTGAGGAGACTTCTCCATAACAAGTCGCGCTAGTGAAATCGGATTCTTCACTGTGCTCAAACCCGATACGGCGCCAAATCTTCGTTTCAGGCCATCCATTATACTTGCCTCCATCTCCACCGTCCCTTTCTCGGTTAACACTGATCCTTGACCTGAGTTAAATACCGGATCCGTCTCTAATTCTCTCACCTTTTAACAATTCAAAACATAATTATAGAATTAAATTAGATTATTATATTAATTACATTAATACCATAGTATAATACTTCCTCTGATTATTTTACATGACATGCTTTGACTTGAATTACAATATTCATAAACCCTTAGAAATTAAAACCTTTCACGTCTAGGGCGAAGGCAACTTCGAATATGGCTAGGTGTTTCTAGATCTTGCGAATGCGGAATTTTGTGTGTGAAAACAAAGTTTAGAAAAGAATACTAAATAATTAATATTATTGAAAATTAATGAATGAATGAATTGTTTGTAGATGAAGAGAATGAATGAATTGTGAATGAAGAGAGTTGATGAATGAAGAAGAGAATTGATGATTCTTGGTGAATGATGAAGATAGTTGGTGAATGATAGATGTAGATGATGATTGAAAACGGAGTTTTTGATACGATATTTATAGAGAAAATCATCCAAAAAAGATAATTTAACAAAACAGAGTCTGAAGATCGCAGAAACATATTGGCGCCAGCCCTGGCTAATTGGCGCCAGGACCAGTGGCTAGCGCCTGGCGCCAATCCTGGTTCCAGGCGCCAAGGCATGGGGTTGGACGCCAAACTGGTTTTCAACGCGTTTTTGAAAATCTGATAAATTTCCCGTACTGAAAGATAAAATAATATAATTTCCATCGAAAATGCTATTTGATCTTGATTAAAACTCTGAAGAGTCCTAATTGAATTAGGAATGAAAAGAACCTTCTAGAACATTCTAGAAGACTAAAACCATTCCTAATTGCATTAGGAATGATAAACTATATTAGGCCCTCCCCTAGATCATTGGGCCGTACATAAAGCTCAAACTGGGCCCAGTTTAGTAAATTGGCCATAAATTCCTCAATATTCATCGGAATTGGGCTTATAATATATCGTTGGAAAGGTCTTTGCAAGCCCCATCCAACTACATCACTATTGGGCCCATATCATGGACCAACCAAACTATATTGGATGTTTTCTTAAAATAAAGTTTTCAAAAACAGGAAGAAGAGAAAAGAATTAAAATTTTCCGCAACACTAGACCTTTCCACACTTTCGTTTCATTCGATTATGATTCGATGTGAAAGACACTCATCACTGGGTTTGGTTTTTGGGAGACACAAATGGGTGTCTACATTTCTCTTTCTTCACCTCCACCAGCATAGGTGCCTTTCTTTTCTTCCTGGCTGCTGGTGGGGCTGGTACTGGATCAGCATCCTTGACATTGTCAAGGTCTATTGGTTCCTGGCCGTCTTGGGCCACGGTATCTTTGACGGCTGAGAGATAGCACTCCCGGGCCGTCTTCTGTTCCCCATTCAAGGAACCAACAAAGCCGTCATCCCTCTCATACTTAATGAGCATGAGGGAAGGGATGATTACAGCCTTGGATTTGTTGAGGGTTGGTCGGCCCAAGATAATGTTGTAGGCGGTCAACTCCTCAACGACCAAAAACTTGACGACCAGGTGTCGCCCTTTTCCTTTCTCACCTAGCCGGATGGGTAAATCAACCCTTCCGACTGGGTAAACCATTCCACCCCAAAGCCAACTAAGGGGTGGGTAACCGGATGCAAGCTGCTGACATTGTATTTCAGCTTCTGCAAGCACCGGAGACTGATGATGTCTGATGAGCTGCCGGTGTCAATAAGGATCCGTCCAACCAGTTGATTGGCAACCTTACATTCAATGACGACCGGGTCATCATGTGGGCGGCGAACACTGCCCCTATCCTTCTCGGTGATCAGAACATCCGGGAAGGAGGAGCTTGCAGACGCCTGCCCATCATCATCTTTGTCCATCTTTCGAAGATGGCTCTTGGTGCCCCGGATGGTAGGGCCACCACATGAAAACCCGCCTGCTATTGTGTAGACCGGCTCCTTGTCGATATCCGAGCTACTAGCAGGCTGGGGGGTAGTCTTGGAGGACTGACCCTTATTCTTCTTCTTTGCCCCGGCTGGGGACTTAAAAATGTAGGACTTCAGCATTCCCTTGTCAGCCAGACGGTCCAACGCCCGTTGTAGGCTGAAGCAGTCGTTGATGTCATGGCCAACTTCCTCATGGTATTGACAGAATTTATTTTTGTTCCTTGATTGAATGAAACTTTTCATTGGATTCGGCTTCTCTAGGGACAGCCGGTCCTTAATTTCCATGAGGATGGAATTGTTGTCCTTGTTAAACTCGTACTTGGGGACGTACGGTTTAAATTCTTTCTTCTTCTTCTGGGACGGCTGGTCAGAATCACTAACCGCCCATCAAATGGCACTCAGTTTATATCTTTAAGTTCGATCATTGACAAGGTTCAAAGAAAGGGTGCGCCCAGATTTCTTTTCTCTTCTTGCTTTCTTCTTTCTTTTTGGCCGGCTGTCTTTCTGCTTGTCGGACTTCTTGGAGTCCGAATATACCAGGCGAGCAGAGGTCAGTAGCTTGAATGTAGCTTTCCGCCTCCCTCAGAGCCGCCTGTAAGGATAAATCCCCTTTTCTGACTAGGTCGAACTTAAAAGTCGACCCGTCTCTCAGACCTTTGAAAAAGTCTGTAAAAGCTACCACATCAGACATTCCTTGAATCTGAATTCTAATCAGATTGAACCGCCTGACATAGAGCGCAGCCCTTCTCTCTCCCCCTGCTTAATGGTGCTCAAGTCCAAGCTTGTTTTCTTGGCAGGGATGTTCATCGAGAAGTTGGAAGCAAATAGGAAGGCAAGCTTCCTAAAACTATCGATGCACCCGGCTGGCAGATTACCAAACCATTGTTGGGCAATGCCCTTCAATGTAGCCGGGAAGCAACGACACCAAATGACATCATCCAACCCCTGTAGATACATGAGGTTGGTGTAAGCCATGAGGTGGTCTTCCGGATTGGTGGTACCATCATAGGTACCAACCAATACATTCTTAACCTTGGCCGGTTGAGCCGCCTCGGTTATCTCCCGGGTGAACGCAAAAGGTTTTTCACCCAGGCAGAGCAGACGAAGCTGCCAGTCTAGTGGCTGGACATTGTGATATGCCGCCTGACCTCAGAAGAGAGCCGGCTGCATATAGTAAGGAGGGTACTGACCATAGACATGAGAAGGTACATATGGAGCAGCCCCAATCATTTGAGGGCCAGAGTGGACGGTATTACCGCCTGTCTGAATCTCATGCAAGGAAGGTGCATTCCCCGCAGAGGTATTGTTAAAACTGTCTAGAAAATTCGACGTAGAAGCCGATTCAGACAGCTGTTGATTTCTCTTCCGGTTGATAACTTCCCGGGCATCAAGAGATGATTTTTTACTTCCCACCGGCTGTTGAGTCCGGCGGGTATTATTGGTATTCCTCTTAGGAAGAAGAATCTTGGACCAATCAATGGTCCCGGCTGCCTTCTCCTTTGGATGGGGAGTTGGCTGCTGATCTTTGACTGACTTCTGCTTGTCCAGAGGAGCCTTCTTGGCCGACTGACCTCTACTCGGGCCAGCCCGGCTCTGGGTGATCAGCTCTTTAATTTCACCCTTGAAACTTGTCATGAACCTCATGAGTTCGTCTCGGGTGACAGGTGCTGATCCTGTGGCCGTATGGGTTTCCCCTTCCAGCTGCAAAGGGGGTCGACTTGCACCCGCCTGGGTGGCACCCCGCTCCAGAGTCTCTCTGGGCCAAATGCGTTTGATTCTGAGAGAGTCGTCATCGGTTGTAAAGGTTTCGACCTGGGGATCTTCATCCTCCTGGTCTGTAAAGACTTCTGGGTCATCGCCCAGAACGGTTAGGGGGTGGTACAGACTCTTGAACCATCTTCGAGGTACTCTCCCTACAGACGGCGCCAAATGTTTTGGGTATTTTTGTCCTTAGGAGAGTTACGTCACGAAGTCTGATCCGGCTGAGCTGTACCTGCAAAACAAACGGAGACACCGGTTGGGTGGTGCTCCGCCTCCGACGCACAAGTAAGAAACTTGAAGGGAGAGAAAAAGATGCGGAAATTTAGGTGGGTATCTATTCGGATTCCAAGCTCAGGTCTTTCTCTGATGTGAAAGAATGCAGGTGTAATAAATGATTCCATCTGTCCCCAAAATGGGGAAATATCTCCCTATTTATAGGGTCCTTGAAGAGCGTGCCCCTATCTAGGTCACTTGACCTAACTTTTAGTGGGCTGCGCCATAAAACGGAGCTTCTAGGGCCGCCATTTCAGAAGTGTATCTGAGGGCGCCAGGTGTCAAGAGTATGTTTAAGCCACGTGGGCTACCCTGAGCTTGACACGTGGCTTCCTCTCATTGGTCCACGTGTCTAGGGTATTTTTACCCTAAACAATTATTATTATTATTATTATTATTATTATTATTATTATTATTATTATTATTATTATTATTAATACCTATAAAAAAAATATCACAATTTTCAAAATCAACGTTTTAAAAGTTACCAAGCTCTCAAAATCTTCGTGTTAATAGAGTAGAGAGTTACATTCTTTAATTCTTATAATGTTGACCACAAAATCCTCCATTTACATGTCCAAATAAACAAAGAGTTAATTTCACTTATGAATTTCACTTGTGAATTTGGCAATATAATTAATAACGATTAAAGTAACAGAAATTCAGGAAAAAAAAAAAAAAAAAAACATATGCAACATAGTAATTCAATTTAATAAAGTTTTTAAAAATAAAATTAAATAAAAGTTGTTTTAAGAGAGAAAAGAAAGTACATACAACAAGTTCAACGACATCAAGGGCAGAAAGATTATTAGTACGAAGAGCAGAAGCACCAAGGTTAACACAACGAGCAAGAAGGTGTTTGGCTTTCTCTTGTCTCTCCAAAGGCAGTTTCGGATCGATGCCGGCGCCGCCGTGCACTGCTATCGCCCATCTTCCCATTTTATGAATGAAGTCTTCCTCTCAATGAATCACCTAAAATATATTTTAGAATTTGGACTGAATTGTAATTCTACTCTTTCGTAATTTGCCTCCTTAAATATTGGAGGAGAAACGCAAGGAGGGTTAGTTGTTTACGGAATCCAACTAATTAATTAAATGTGAATTAAGTTTCTTTAATTACAATATTAATATTAATCCCAATTTTCAACATGCGTTTTTATTGCTTGTGTGTCTATGATGTGTCAAGGTTTATTGATATCTTATGTTTAAAAAAATGGAATTAATGTCAAATATATTGTCCTTCTATAGCATATGTTAGTATGTTACTAATTTGTTGAGTGGTTTTAGAAAACACCTCTAAGAATCATGTACTATAAAAAGATTATCAATTAAATTAAGATCATTAGTTAGGGGTACATATAAGCATAAAATATATTTCTTCTAAAAAAAACAGCTGAAAATTTAGGAAAAATTGATATAAATAATCTCAACTTCTGCTCATTCACCTAAAATAATCCCAACTTTGAATTATTTTAAAATAATCCGAACTTTATAGGTCATTCGCTCAAAATAATCCCAAGTAACCTATAACCTAATAAAAAGTTTAAAAAAAATTTAAGTGACACATGTCACCATATGATTGATTAAAATAAATTATTTAAAAAAAAAAAATTCCCTCCCAGCCACCCAATCCCGCCAGCATACCAAACCCCTCCTAAAAGCCCAATCCCCGCCTCCCACCGTCGACGGCGGCCCGAACCCATCTCCTTCGCGCCGCCCATCCCCTACCTCCTGCACGACCCCATTTCTATTCTATATTGTTGATTGGTGAAGGTCGAATTGATGATTAATGTTGTTGGGTTGCGGCCGGGAAGTTCAACAGTTGTAGGTTGTGCTGTGAGCTGAGGTAGTTTCGTGGTGGTTGAATTATTGATTGCAGGTGGCGAATGGGTAATTGGGGGTGGCGAATTGGTGAATACGAGGGCTGCGAAGCTTAAATTGGGCGAAAACGGCAGTGCGGTGGAAATGGGTGCTGCGGGCTTGCGGCTGATGGTTTAAGCTAATAGGCTCGATGGTGATGGTGGTTATATGGTGTTGCGGGCAGTGCAATATTACGGGGCTGCTGAAGTGCTGAATGGTGGTTTTGTGGTGGTTGTGGTTGATGTATGTGTGTTTGTAAGGGTGCTGGTCGTGGCGGAGGTGGCGGTGTATTGCAGGGGTGTTCAAGGGATAGGGGAGAGGCGTCGCCGGCGCCGTCCCAGCCTCGCAGGAGAGGTGTGTTTGGGTATTGGAGGTGGTCGTGGCTGGTGGTGGGAAGGGTGGTAGTGGGTGGAACTGTTATTTATTTATTATTTCTTCATTGTTTTTTTTATTTAAATTTTTTCAACCAATTGCGTGGTGACATGTGTCATCTTAACCTGTTATAACAGGTTAAGTGACCGGTTGGAACCATTTTGAGCGAATGACCTATAAAGTTTGGATTATTTAATTAAATAATCCAAAGTTGAGATTATTTTCAGTGAACGAGCAAAAGTTAGGATTATTTATATCAATTTTTCCGAAAATGTATGACAAATTATGTGGAAATTATGTAATCAATGCTTTTTATCTTTAATATTTCTTTATAGGCTACTTAGACAAATTCAGTGTAAAGCTAATTAGCAAATTAGCTTGTTATGTCACATGAGATTTTAAACTAATCTCTTAAATAGCTAGTTTGTGTCCTACTAGTTAGCTACGAGTTTGTGATCTAAATGAGTGTCAACATTCAATTAGCATTTTAAATTTAATAATTTTATTAATATATCACGCCCTATTTCTAAGCAAATTAGCATGGCCAAGTTACTTTCATTTTTTAGCTCCGATGGTTAAGCTAGTAGGTATTGAATTTTCTAAATTGTAAAACAAGTCTCTAAACTACAACCATTAGAGATGCTCTTAGGGATATATCTGTCATTTTTTCAAAAAAAAAATATCGAACGTTACATATTAATATTGATCAATTGATGGGTATTGGTTGAAACAAAGTATTCAGAAAATTTTTAATAGTTATTTTATATTAACACTGTATATATAAGTAAATTTACATGGAAAAAAGTGGATTAATTACATATATTTTAAAATACGCATTTTGACTATATATAAAGTACTGCGAAAAGATGCATCAAAATTTTTATTTATGTTAGTAAGAAATCTTGTATTATACTTAGCTTTATAGTTGGCATATACTTTAAGGATAAAGTTTGAATTCCATATGGAAATTTAAATATATATATATATATATATATATATATATATATATATATATATATAGTTGAGTTCATGTTATGGAAATCTTTTATTTATGTTAATAAGAAATCTTGTTTTATACTCAAGTTTATAATAGTTGGCAATAAATATATACTTTATGTATAAAGATACATCAATTCTTTTATTTACACATAATTTTTTTATATGGAATTTTTTACAGAAATTAGAAAAATATAATGTACACACTAGAAAATGTCACCTGTCATTGTTGGTGTGTATTTTGTTATATAGTTATTAAGTATTGATTATTTTAAATGAACATTGTATAAGTAAATTTACATAAATCTGTTATTTATGTTAATAACAAAAATTGGTTTTTTTAACGTGTGTTCATGAGCACACGTTAAAAAAACAGATTCTCTATAATTATTTGATCACGAGAAATATCTACATGCTTAAAAAGGATAGGTTTGAAAAATTATATGGAAAATAATAAAATCTTCATTATTTCCTATATTACAAGATTTACCACATTTTTCCAAATATTTTATGCAATATATAGTCAGTTATTTCCTAATACAACTATTCACAAAAAAAAAAAAAAAATCGCTAGCCTCATAAACGTTCACTACTCTAATGACACAGTCATAATTCATCCACCATACTTGGTTTTCTGTCTCCTCATAAACGTACACTACTACTCCATCCCCCTTTTTTTTTACTTCTATTGAATGCAAGAAGAAATATAAACTGTTGTAAAATGGAGAGGTATCTCAAGGCTACAATAAAAAGTAAACATCAATAAGATCGAAAATTTGATCTTATGACAATAAAAATAGTACGGTGTATTCTGAAGCAAATTCACTGACTTGAAAACGAAAATAAACAAAATTCTGGCGCAACCTAGGTGTACAATAATTGTATTCGCTGACACGTTTCCTAAGATTAACACACCACTTCCACTCAAAGTCACTTTTGGGTGAAAGGTTAAATCCAAGTAACTTATACCCAATATAGAGTATGTGTTTAAGCTTGTGTTTGAAGGTTATGTTCAAGTATATGAAATCAGAAAATCATCATTCAATTTATAATGATGGATGAAGGAAGATGGAAGAAGAGTATTTTCCATCAATGAGAGAGAATAAATCAACATAAAGATGAAGGATTAAATTACCATAATCATCTCCTTAAATGTGGGGGTTACAAGAAATCAACCAAGAAAAAAAGAATGAGAATCCAAGAAGAGTTGTTGAAATCCAACGAAAAAGCTCGCGCCCGGTCGGGCGAGCACTCAACTAAAACTGGGTTGCTTTCGCACCCAGTCATGCGAAGCTCCCTCGGCAGGGCGAATGTCTCTCAGCATTTCCAAACACCTTCTTGACCCCTTGTAGGCGTCGTTCGAAGTGCGCCTACGTTAAAGCATGTGTGAATATGCTTGACACTCATAGGAAGTGAAAATCGACATAATATGATTAGGGACAAGGAAAGTAGGGAGCCGCCAACAAGTTTTTAAGGAACTTGTAAACCGTTCACGGATCACAAAAGGTAACCACGATTAAGGGACAACGATAGGCAACAACGATTGACCCGTGAAGGTTACACCCCATTCATAATCCATGAGATTACTAACTCCATATGGTTCAGAACCACGAAAGGAGGATCGGGGATGATGGTACAAAGTGAGTCAAGGAGTCACATTCGCCCGTATTGGCTTCTACTCGATTCTTATAGTAACCTGCGATCTCAAAGGCATACAAACAAAATATTCAATTTGCTCCAAACTATTATTAAGCTAAATTGGTTGAATATTAATGCAACAAATAATTCTATAAAATTTGTGATCACTTGAATTAAGAAACAAGATTAAAAAGGAACCTAAACCGGTTGTTCAAATTATCTTATTAGGCGTGATTTTCAATTACATATTCCCTTTAAACATGCAATATGGTGATCATAAAAAAATAATAGAATAACATCAATATTGGAAGCAATTCAACAATAATTCTAACAATACAAAATCGTTAGAAAAATAATAGAAAGAAAAGGAACATAATTCTTACTTTGATTCTGTTTGTTTGTAACTACAAAATAATAAACGAGTTAGTAACTTCAAGGAAATAATAATAAAACAATAATTAAATTAAATTAAATAGAATTGATTTGGGGCCAAACCCTCAAACAGTTCTACCTTTCACGCCTTGGCTTAAGGACAGAACCACGAGTAAAGTATGGACTCCTGGGAGTGCTTGAAGAAGGAATTTTGAAAGAATAGGGGTAGGCTAGAGCATAGAAGAGAGAAAAAACTAGAGAATTAATTCATTGATGCCCCGCACATCAGAATTGAGGGGGTATTTATAGAAAAAATGTGCCGAGGGAACACACGGAACCCTAAAATGATAAAAAAAACCCTAAAAAAGTATACCGGATACCACAACGCGGAAAAGTATACCGTGACACGGGAAACCCCACCGTCATACGGGAAACATTCCCGTGACACGGTGTACTTGTTGTGTGACGCGGGAAATATTTAGTAAACGGGGGAGAAAACGCGTTAAGGGTTTACGCGGAAAGGACACGAAAACTCCCGTGTCACAACAGGTTTCTCGTGTCACGGGAAATCCCACCTTCAGACGGGACAGTTTCCCGTGACACGGTGGACTATTGCCGTGACGCGGAAATTTTTAGTCCGTTTTTTCGTCTAAATTCATTTTTAACCCTAATTTCGTTCAGCATTTTAAGTGCCGATTGATAATTTCGGGCCATTTCTGATTTATTATTATTTGGGCTAAAAAAAGAAAATAAATAAATAAAATAAATAAAAGGTT